TTTTCGAAAAGTGGGCGGGGCTTCCCCAAAGTACGCGGAGCTTCCATTGGTGGGCGGAGTCAATAGCTAAAGCTCAAAAAAGCGAAAATCCGGAAGAAAAACCAAAATTCCGCGATAACCACAAGTGGGCTTAGCCAGAGGGGCGGGGGCATGGTGTGCTCTGCATGGGTTACTCGTTTTTGTGAAGATTGGATGTGAAAAGAAACCACGTCGAAAAAATGTTATAAAATTCAGACTTTACGTAACTTCATTGTTAAGTGGGCGGAGTCAGATCTATATAGGTATCAGTCTTTTTCCGTTGAACTGTGTGGTGAAAGGCTAAAACGAGAAAAAGTCGAGGGAGCAGATTTCATGAAGCCGGAAAACCCTGTCCGCGCTGAGAAGTGGGGCGGGATAAGCGCTGAGAAGTGGGCGGGGATATATGGGGCGGGGCTTGCAACAGTACCTAGTGTGGTCATGTTATCAACCACCTAATTGTAAGGGGTGTGTCGATTTGATTTGAAAAGTGTTCCGATTTTAAAGTGAAAATTAATATATATATGTATATATATATATATATATATAATATATATATATTATATATATATATATATATATATATATATAATATATATATATATATATATATATATGTAATATATATAATATATATATATATATATATATATATATATCCTACTCTATATAATCCGCTAAGTATGTCTGTAAGTGCTGTGTGGGTGTGTGTATATTTGGTGTGCGTCTGCTCTGTGTGCTCACGAAATTCATAGCGCCTGTTCCAGTAGCAGTGAGACAATGATTTCAAGAAGTGATGTACGGGGTGTGCACGGGAACACTGTTGGTAGGTGACAGGAAGTTATATCAGTTGATAAGATTCGATAAGGGGCTGTAGAAGGAGAAGGTCACTATAATCATAACGCAACAGTGACAGCATCAGCCTGCTCTCCGATTCTAAGATATGATATAGAGGATAGTCCAAGAACATCATTAGTGGGTGCACGAAAACTGTAAGCTGCTGATAAGATTCGATAAAGGGCGTTAGAAGGAAAAGGTCACCATAATTCACAGCGCAGGTCACGGCAAGAGTCAGCCCTTGATTTCGAGATATGATATAGGATGAGGGCCAAAACATTATTGGTGGTATCATCGCATCGCATCGCACCGCACCATCCTACCTATATAATGTCGCATGTCGACGAACGGGGGCACACAATAACTATGCAACGTATATCCCGGCGGCGTACCAGAAATATAGTGCACATAAAACAAAAAATAATACGACCCCCACTTTTCCAGGAGAAAAACTATTGATTTGTCCTACCCCACCCCAAATACGACCCCCTCCCCAGAGCAAAAGCATGATCCCCTCATGTGTTTCACATACAGGTGCTGTACCCTGTCTGTGTGCTGTATGTCCGTTATGGCGCGGACCGCAAGTATAAGCGTTTACTATGGAACGCAGGATCCACAGAGTTGCTCTTTCTGTTATTATTGTACCACAGAGCTGTATGAGCAACGCAGTGATTGAGAGAGTTCCGTCCCCCATTATGGAGCGCCCCTGGCGAAGCCAGGCCAGCTCGGCGAAGCCGAGCTAGAGAGAAGGAGGAGAGCTCGGCGTCAGCCGGGCGATCCGACTGGTATATATATATCCAAGATTACCAAGAAGCGTCTATCTCTGGAAACTCTCGAGCTGATTCGTCAACGTGAAGCCGCACGAGCCGCAGGCAATTACCAGTTGACGTCTAAGCTTGCGAAGCTATGCAGAGAAGCGATTAAAGAAGACCTCAAGGAGAGAAGAGCAGCGGTGCTGGTGGAAGCCGCAGAGGCGAGGAAAAGCATCCGCAACACTCGCTGCAGCTTCGCCAACTGCAAGACTAAGATGACCGCCCTCTGACTTCCGGGCGGAACAATCACCGCATCCAGAAGGGCAAAGCAGGAGAAGGTCATTCACGACTTCTACTCTGATCTCTTCGACAGCCACGTCCACCTGCCACCATACCGCTAAGAGCAGGAAGGATACGTCGTTCCTGCAGTTCTCCCTTCCAAAGTCCGACACGCCTTATCGCCGGTGAAGAATCGTATGGCACCCGGTCCCGACAGGATCAGAGCCGACCATATGAAGAATCTTGTTCTTGTCACAACTCTAGCTCGACTCTTCACGCGCTACCTGTCGGAATGCAAGGTACCCACGTCGTGGAAAACCAGCAAGACTGTGCTGCTGTACAAGAAGGGAGACCTGTACTACATTGGCAATTATCGCCCAATCTGTTTGCTGTCTGCAGTCTACGAACTCTTCACACGAGTCATCCTGAACTCCATTGGCAGAACACTAGACCAAAGAGAACCATGCGAGCAAGCAGGGTTTCGATGAGGATTCAGCATGATCGATCACGGTAACGAAGCTCACTGAAGTATCGCGAGAGTACAAGATGCCGTTATGTCTCACGTTCATCGACTTGAAGAAAGCATTCGACTCCGTTGAGACAGAGGCGGTTATCGAAGCCCTGGGCAACCAGGGTATTCCTTCTCAGTACATCAGGATTCTCCGTGAGCTACAGCAACTTCACGACCAAGATTTCACCATTCTACAAGGAGATCATCATTGATGTGAAGAGAGGGGTCCGACAGGGCGACACCATCTCGCCCAAGCTCTTCAGCGCCTCTCTCGAGAATGTCATGCGTCAATTGTAATGGAAGGACATGGGAGTGAAGATCGACGGTGGGCATTACACCAGCTCAGCTTTGCTGACGACATCGTTTTGATAACATCAAACATCGAGCAAGCGGGACGAATGCTGGCTGACTCCGACTGCGCGTGTGGAAAAATCGGTCTACGGCTGTATCAACGAAGACGATGTTGATGAGAAACGGATTGTTTCTGATGCCCCATTCACGCTCAACGGAACGACCATCTCTGAATGCTCTGGCTATTGTACCTGGATCGTGCAATCAATACGATGAATGACTTAGCACTAGAGCTGAGCAGGAGGAAGGGAGCGGCTTGGGGAGCCTTCAAGCACATCGAGGGAGTAGCGAAGATGATCGAAAACTCCAAGCTCCGTGCCAACCTCTTCAATGCCGCGATCCTTCCTGCCCTGACTTATGCCTCGGAGACTGGACTCTACGAAAGCAGGATGAGCATACGGTTGGCGTATTCAACGCGCCATCGAAAGGGCGATGGTCGGAGTTTCCCGCTACACGTAAGCGAGAGAGGGAATCCGGAGCACCGCACTCCGCCGACGATCGGCGATCAGGGACGCCAAGTATTTGCCAAGGTTTCGAAGATCAGGTGGGCCGGGCACGGCATGCGCTTGGACCGCTGGACCAGAGACGACCGCTGCACCAGAGCAATCACCGACTGATTCCACGGGATGTCAAGCGAACGCCTAGACGACCGCCTATGCGATGGTCAGACTGCTTCTTGAATGCTCTGAACGAATGGTATAGAGTTCATGGTGTCCCTCGAGCACAGAGAGTCCATTGGGCAATTCTTGCACGTTGCAGGGACGATGAGGCGTTACTGGCGCCCGCTCGAGGAACTCGATGATCAACGGGAGCACAGGTGATACAGGCAATCATAGTCGGTACTGATTAGCCCCACAATGGCAACCAGTAACTCTCACATCTTGCTCAGATGGCGTAATTAGCGTGCCACCAATCAAGGGCTGGTACGAGTTATGCATTGATCATCATTGTCTGCCCATGAATAATACAACACGCTACATCAAATACTTGCTACCGATATCTCCGACTGAGAAGCTGAAGTGCAATTACGTACACTCACTAGGGAAGGTCGTCAGGTCGAAGTGGCCATTTGTAATGAGATGTAGCTCACCAGACGTGGTTTTGGACGCCGATCTTGAATCTGCCTTTGCAATTTGCAAAGCGATTCTCTGAAAGGAATTATGATGGCTTGTTAGAATTAAAGTGAAGGAAAACGGAGTCGAGCGCTGTTGCCAGAAAGTTCGCATGAATAGCCGGAAGAACCTTTACATTCAACGGCAGCGTTCTAATTTCTGGAAGGGAACTTGTTTTGCGTTTTGTGGGGAATTTCTCGTTTTAAGCCTAGAAAACACTCAAACGCCAAGGGTGCCATATTCGTGTTCAGGAAGCAAAAGTACCCTTGGGAACAGGTTCTAGCCAGAATTGATGTTTTGACCTAACTAAAAGTGCGGTAGCAGTTGATTGAATGACGGTCACCAATAGTTCCAGGGCCAGTCTCTTGCCAATTGCTTGTCTTTCGACGGAATCTGCTTTTAGATACCAGGAAAATTGCAGCAGTAACAACATGAATGCGTATGAAGTGGCAAGACGAGGCTTTGTGCAGGAGAATGTATCTGCAGCCAAATAGGCGTGAACATCAACTGAACTAACCTATGGATGCTTAACTTTTCGAAGTCAGATCAAAATGGCAGATTTTGTTAGAAACCTCTACCTGGGTGTAGTTCGCCCCCATAAATACGAATATGGCACTCGCTCAATGCGGAAACGTCTGCACTGCTCGCCAAAAGCACCTGTACATCCTCAAATTCTCCCAGATCATAATGCACTAAGCGCGCCAGTAAGCGAACGCAAACTGTTTTTCAGGTAAGTCAAGGAGAGCGCTAATGTAGAAGCGACGCCACAACCACTTTTTGCCACCTTTGCGCAGGAAGCAAGAAAGCTAAGCTCAGCAGGGATCCGATCCCATGACCTGTTGCGTGGTAAACGCGAAGGAAAAAGCTTCATAACTCCGTTTAGAGAATCGCTTTGCAAATTACAAAAGCAGATTCGAGATCAGCGTCCAAAACCACGTAGTGAGCTACATCTCATTACAAATGGCCACTTTCGACCTTTCCCTATTCAGCACAAACGGAGTACAAGAGTAACACTGTCACAGACCAAAGTTTTGTGAACATCAATATCTCCTTCCGAAAAGCTTACAGGGAAACCCCCACTGTTGGCCTGCTGAAGCAATCACTACTTCAGCAGTGTAAATTTACCTCATAATAGCCGCATTCATGTTTGCTACATGGGTGGCCGTCAAAATTACTGTAAAGATGGGGTCTCATAAAGCTATAGTAGGACCAGAAGAAATGAAACAAACGCGCCGTCAGCACCAGTTTATAGTTTCAAATTGACACCATTCCCTAGTGCTGTGATCGCATTATGTGCCCTAGTATGCTTAAGATCGCCCACAGACGCATGAGCACGGTTTCATGCGTCACTCGGCTGACCTCGTGTGCAATGAAAACAATCAATGTCATCTATAATATAGCAGAGAGCTCTTATTCAACAGGCTCCAATCAGAGTTGAGGGTCCGAAAGTAACCGAATTTTTCAAAAGGCCCACGAAGCTAACAATATATCAAACGAAACGCTGCGCTAATGCGGGGTCATGCATTGAGAACAAATGCGACAGGCTCAAGTAAAATGAAACGGTTCCGGTGGAGGGATGTTCTGTGGGTGCTTCGTGCCCTTACCTAGCTGCTGGTTCTATAGAATCGCCCACAGATCAGTATCCGACCGAATCCTCGAAATAACGCAATGTCCTCATTGGACTACTATGGTGAAATTAGACAGAAATAACAAACGCAAATCAAACAAAAAAAGTTGAGCAATCATTTATTTCCTATATGGCTAATACATCGACAACTTCAATGTTACTGTTATATCAATTTAAAGGTCATTGTATCTCCTAGAAAACAAGCGCTCCGCCATTTCGAACAGTAGGCATATATGTTGCCAATTAACTTCTAATTCCCGGCCCATCGTCGCCGACGATGCCCCTTCGCCAAGTGTCGGGGGCGGGGCATACCGTTGTAGTAACGAGAGCAATCGTACCCATTGTCTTTTACTGTTCCTTCTGCGTGACGAGATAAACTGTGTGTTTATACACCTGTCGCTCTCTCACACAAACATTCCACTGAATTACCGAGTGATTCGGCGTAAAAGGGTTAGATCAACCGTAAATTCTCAAAGCGCCCACACAAATAATGGTCCTGCCCGAAAAGATTCTAAATGAAAAGCTTGTCGAGACATTTCAGGTAATCTACAAGGACGATTTAGTCGAAACGTCGGACGTGACACACGGTCCCATCATAACAAACTTTGTACAGCATAAAAACAACACAATCATAATTACATGCCGAGGTTTCAAGAAGACCGCGCTTGGAGGTTATAAACGATTGAGTTGCATGTCGGCTGACTAACCGGCAACTAACCTTAGGATATATGAGGCACTTACCACCCTGAATAGAAAAACTTTCATCATCCTGCATCCCGAAACAGATTTATACATTGCGGAAGGTTTTCCCTTGATCTTTTTGTCTAAACAAGTTGTATCAATCTGATGCCTGCATATCTGAATGCCTACCTGCATCTGATTGGTAGCCCTTTAACTTCCCTTGCGTACCCTCCTTCACGAGATTAGTTACACTTCGACTTTCCCTTGGAGACACTTCCCGCGATCAAGTGGTCCTCAAAATGACTCCCTGCCTTTGGAATTGCATACGCGTTCACAGAGAACGTACCACTTTCCTCTCACAAAGCGGCGAGATAAAGAAGTTAGAGACAAGTGAGCGTTGCAACGCGTGCAACACCACGCTGTAGCTGTACGAGACAACGGCTCACAGATTTCTATTACTACAATATCCGAAAGGCACGTGTCGCGCGCGGCGTTTCTGGCACCTTGCCATCTTTGGCGACCCACGCTTTCCATAGCGATTGAGCGCGGATCACCAAAGATGGCAAGGTGCCAGAAGCGTCCACAGTAACCATGTTGGACATAAATTGAAGACGGCTAGGCTAGTTTAGAGTTCCACAGTCTTTGCACGCGCGACTCCAACCAGGAGGATGTGGACAAAAAAGCAGCAAGCCTTTCTTGAGTTCCATACTCTGCAAGCGATGGGAAGGAAGTGAATTGGAGAGCTGGTAGTTCGTCTTCCATACTCTTCGCAAGCGCGGTTTCAACGAGGTGGATGTGAAATGAAGAGCAGTTGGTTTGTTTCTCAGACTCACCTAATGGTCAGAAGGGGGGGGGGCACTATTCAAGTGTTACTACCCCTATCTTCCGACATCAGACCAGTTTTTCTATCGACCTAAAAATTTTGTTTCCAGAGCTTCGACCTCCAAACACGAATATCACATCGACTGGCCAGTAATCCTGGCGCTCACGCCACGGTTCCACGGCTCAAGCTCTGCGCTCCAATAGCTATGGAGAGCGCGGATCACCAAAGACATAATCAGAAGCGTCTCACGCGGCACGTGCCGCGCGAACGTTGTAGGAGAAATGCTATCAAAGCCCTTCGCAACCGACTTACTCGTCCAAGACGCCCTCCACGCAACCGACTCCTGAAAGGAGGTCTGTGTTTAAGGTGTTCCAGAGGTTTTTTCGCTTCTTTTTCCACTGAGGAGTACTCGTTGGCCACTGGCTTATGACTGTGTGTTTGTTATGTGTGTGTTGCGTTTGTGTGAGTGTTTGTATGTATGTGTGTGTGAAACTATGTTAAGTTGTGCGTATGTGTGTATGTGTGTGTACGTGTGTGTGTGTGCCATGATGAGTTTGTGTGTGTACCGTGTGTGTGAGTGGAGTGTGAGCATGAGTTTGTGTGTGTGTGTGTGTTGGGTGTGTGTGTGTGTGTGTGTGAAAGTGTGTGCATGAAGTGAGCGTGTGTATGAGTGCGTGTGTGCTATGTGTGTGTATGTATGTGTGTGTACGTGTGTGTGAAAGTGTGTATGTGTGCATGAGTGAGTTTGTGTGTGTGAGTGGGTGTCGTGTGTGTATGTGTATGTGTGTGCGTGTGTGTGTATGTGTGTGCGTTTGTCTGTTTGTCACGAAATTCATGGCACCTGAAGAAGAACTTAGAGGGGTTGGGTCATGGTGGGGATTGGTAGGGCATGGTACAAATTGTAAATAGCACCGGTGACCCATGGTAAGCCCCGCCTTCAGGGGCGAGGCGCGCCGAAAGTTAGCGATGTCACTGAACAAAATCATAACTCGGTTCCAGAGCAGTCCCGATATGGGGGGGGACCGTGCGACAAGTTAACAAAGGGCTGACCGATCAAAAAGAGGAGACACACCCGAAATGGGCAGGGCGTAATTGAGACGGGTGGCGCTTCCCGCGTCACTGAAAAAAACGCCATAATTTGGCTACAAAGCAGCCCGGAGACGGGAAAAGTGGAGGAGATACACCCGAAATGTGTGGGCCGTACTTAAAATGGGCGGCGCTCCCCACAAAGGTCGGTAATTCGGTTCCGGAAAAGGTCAGAGATCGCAGAAAAGTCAGTGGGTAGAGCGCGCATACGAGCACGAGGTACAAGTTCAAAAAAAAATCGTAATTTGGTCCTAAAGCACTACGGATGGCGCAAAAAGTGGATTATGCTCCCCAATGATCATGTGTTGGAATGTGCGAGGCACTCCCGTCGTAGGTGAAGCGTGCGGCGAGGTGGGCGGAGAGAAATTTAAAGGATTACTAAAATGATCCAGAACACTCCAGACACCGGTAAAAAGTAGTCCAAGATCAGCGAGGAGTCATTGGTCCACAAGTGTGAGGCACACCCGTTGTGGGTGGAGCATGCGTCGAGGTGAGTGGGACCAGTCTCAAAAATTCCTCAAGCGTTTCCAGAGCACTCCAGGCACTCCAGACCTCCTGTGTGATACGGCCCGTTTTTGCGGAGCGTGGCTCCATCGCGCCTACCTATGGTACCTACCGTATGATCAAATGCTCGACTGTTACCCGGCTTTTCTCTCATCGGTTCACTTGATCAACGCTCCTCACCATCATTCCATACACCGTAATAGTGTTAAAAATAGCAGGTTGATGCTACTGGTCAAAAAATGTTGAGCATCTGTTCAGATAAAAGAAATCCGGGTACTAGGCGAGCCGGCAAAGCCGTGCTGTATCTTAGAAGCAGGCGCGCCGGCTGGCCTCATATAATTTAAGAAAACTTCAAACATAATACGAGATCAAACAACAATTTGGTTTCCCGGTTCGACAATCCTTCCCACCCGATTTACTCAAATACGTGCGTGGTTCAGGGACTTGCAATTGACTGGGGTCGCTTCACACCTTATTAAGGCTCTCCCTCCCCACTCTAGGAGCAAGACGTGCTTAATAAGGTGCGAAGAAGAATGATTTGCCCCAAGATTTTCCTGCCCGCCTCTGGAATATATTCACGCGTCACGTCCGATGTATTATGGGAGCTCACTGCGGTGTTACAGCATATTTTACGAGTAACTTCGACTACAGTAACCTGCCTGTTAGTACTGAAGGTGGCATACAGTAACACTTCCAAGCTTCATTTTGAGCTGCAGGGTGCCCAAACTGGAAACTGCTCACAATTTCCTTTCATAGGGCCTAAATGGAAACCGCTCACGTTTTCCTTGCATAGGTGGGGGAGGTTCGGGCGAACGCTGATCCGCTATATTTGGCTTTTTAGCCATGTTTCTGAGAAAACCAAAAAAGCAGTCCGCAAGGGTGCAATCCCGCCAACAGTTGCCTACAAGGAAGCTCACTAACTGCTGAGCTCCACAGTCATAGCGGGCCAGAGGTTTGAGTTCAACGTCCGAAGCAAGGTACACCATCGTTGTGATCATCACAACAGGCGGGGTGTAGTATTTGACCTCGAGGGAGGGAGGGGGTCGTGAGCGCGGGGGTCCTTTCTGAAGTGAGAGTGCAGCGATACCCAGATTTCGTTCAGCTTCAATGATAAAAAACTTATCCATATGAAGAACCTCTTAAGAGACCCACACAAGGCAGAATCCACTTTCTAGCGCAGAAGTGGGGACGGGCGATGACAGGAAATACGATGGCTTCCCACAACGACGTCATGAATATAAAAAAAGATAAAAGATAAAGTCTCCGCCGTTGACCAATTCCTTTGCGGGATGCGGCACGCGTTCTACTTTCATTCAGAATCGCGGTGGCTCATTGAATGCGATGTGGTCTATATAATTACTTGCGGTGGCCAGTCTATGCACAAGTCAGTGTTTTATACTTCCAGACAAATCTCGTACTACTTTACCGTCCCCGTAGGGTAGAAGGCTTGGCTGGCCTTGGCGAGAGTCGACCTGGGATTTGAACCCGGCATCGCCCGAGTGGTAAGCGCGCCACTTGTCATTACACCACCTCAACGCCAATGAATATCCGCCATGAACTAATAAACAGATGAAAATACACTTCCGAACCTTTCTATCGCAGAAGCACATCTACTTGCACAGAGGAAACCCTTTCTAGAAGTTGCATCTTCCCAATAGCTCTGCGTGAGAGCTCTATGCATGGCGCATTGTAGAGGTGATGTCAATTGGCGGAACTGGCCCCCAGTGAACTATTTCCTGATATCCTTGGCAAAAACATGCGTTTTAGAAGCATAACAAAGTCTTTAGGACAACTGGAGGTTTTTTACGTCGGAGGTGTTGATTTTTCGTGTT